AGGAAGGAAGGAAGGAAGGAAGGAAGGAAGGAAGGAAGGAAGGAAGGTGGGCATAAGAGGACCAGTTTTGGCCATAGAGCTAGAGAGACAGTGTGCTAATGCTTATAATTTGCCACCCATGAATAGGTCTTTTCATGTGTAAAGCTTATTATTGATATCAAATCACACAGTGCCTCTGCTGTTAGGAGCCCCTGCTGGGATTCAAATATATAAGGGACGCTTCTCGCATTAAGTAAGAAGTCCCTTATTTCACACCAATATTTTAATTTTCCAGTATGCTATTGGTACTTTTGTCAAATCATATTATCAACCTCTGGCTGGCAGGACAATCTTTCTGGAAAAATGGCTTAGGATTCAAGAGAACATTCCAAAGGTGCTTTTTGCAAAAGACAATTGGACTTTCTCGTTTTTTTTCCTTTGAAAATGTTTTGCTTCTCATTCAAGAAGCTTCTTCAGTTCTTGAAGAAACTGCTTCTTGGGTGAGAAGTGAAACATTTTCAAAGGGAAAAAAAACAGGAAGCCCAGTTGCCTTTTGGAAAAAGCACCTTTGGAACAACCATGACCTGGATGACTAAGAATCTCCATAGATTCAAGAGAAGATATTCATTCATTTCTTGGAGAAGACAGAGAAATAAATGAAAAGGAAAAAGTGAAAGGAATTGGGATGAAGTAGAAATCCTGCTTGAAAAAGCATGAGATGGTTTAACAGAAATTAATTAATGGGAAATTGACAAACAAATTTAAAAAAATGTGGCAACTGCTCAGAACAGAGTAAAAAAAGATTACATTACAGAATATCACAAGAGAGTGAAATTGTTGTAATGGGAGGCTGGAAAAAGGCTTTTCAATTGAGTGATGAAGTGAAAGAAACTACAGGTGAGAAAAATACAAAAAAACAGATTGATGGCTGAAAAAAATTGAAGACGAACGAATTATTGTATAATGTAAGCCAGGGGTGGCAAACTCAATTCCATTGAGGACTGCATCAGTGGAGGATACAGTTTAGGGACCTAAATAGGGACATAATAGTGATATGCCGAAGAGGGAAAAACTGAAACATATAAACCAGAAGAACTCAAGATTGTGTAACCAGAAAACTTAAAATAATGGTTAAGCTTATGGAAAGTGGACAAAGCCAACATCTGGCTGAGCCTCATCGTAAAGCAATCTTGTTCCCTTCTATAAAACAAAAGAGAACAGGAGCGAACGCTTAAAACTGAAGGGAGATTCGTTTGCTAAGTTCATCTGAGAAGGTTGTTTGGGATACATCTATCAAAAGGATATAAGAAGTGACAGCGAGCAGGTTTGGGCTGGCCAGTTTTTGGGAAAACTGGAAAGCAGAAGTGCCAAATAATAAGAAGTGCCTTGATTCTGTTTGTCACAAGAAGAGGCAGAGAGGAATTCTGAGAAGATTTCAAGATTGATGTTGGGATAGGCCAGGCCAGGAAACATGCACAGCAAGAGAATCCAGGAATGTTCCTTTATTTTTGAAGGTATACTAAATCTTGGAAAGCCCTTGAGTTTTTCTCTACTCTGGTTTCTTTTTATCAAATAAAAACAAAGCCATGTTATTTTGAGGATTCCCCCGCCCCCATACTTTTCCATTTTCCATGGTGGATTTGCTGTTTCTCCTTCCTTAATCTATTCCTTCACCAAGCTCATCTTACGTCCCTTTACAGATACCAAACTGTCAGCATTGCAAGGCCAAGGAGAATGACCAGATCTGGGAAACCTTATAACACTGACATCCTAAATTGTAATTAATATTGATAGAATACACCTTATTTGCAATGGTGTAAGTTATCTAAACAATAGCGTGTCAAAAAATCTTTAGTGAATACTGTATAAATATCATTGTACTGAAACAATGTCATATACTGGTAGTCCTCAATTTAGGACCACAACTGAGCTCAACATTTATGTTGCAAAACGAGACATTTGTTAAGTGAGTTTTGCCCCAATTTATAACCTTTCTTGTTACAGTTGTTAAGTGAGTCATTGCAGTTAAATTAGTATCGCAGTTGCTAAACAAATCTGGCTTCACATTAATTCTGCTTAAGGTCACAAAAGGTGATCCCATGACCCCAGGTCACTGCAAGCGTCACAAATACGAGCCAGTTACCAAGCACCTGAACTTTGATCACATCAACATGGGGATGTTGCAATGATTTTAAGTGTGAAAAACAGCCATAAGTCACTTTTTTCAGTGCCATTGTTAACTTTAGTCGCTAAATGAACTGTTGTAAGTCAAGGACTACCTGCATTAAGATTTACATAAATTTATTTTGTCTTTTAATGACCCCGTAATCCCTTGCATCGGGGTGGAGTTGGGGCAACTGAATGGAGCTGAGTGTTTATTGGCCGGATGCCCTTCCTGTTGCCAATGCGGAGTCCACAGCATATATATTCATTGTGCCCAGAGAGAGAAATATCTGCTGCTACCTAAGATCAAACTCACAGCCTCCTGTTTGTGAGATGAGAGCTCCACCTCTAGACCACTGCACCACTCATTTACACAAACTTATATAATAAACACATAATAAGAAAGGGAAAAAGAGAGAGAGAGAAAGGACAATCTTTATGCAGCAGAAAGTAGAATACGAAAAAATTATTTGCTGTTTTCTCACAGTCATGGCTGACCAAATTCTTTAAAAAATTGGCAGCCCCAGTGACAAGCCACTTCTGCATCACCCTAATATTTCAAGACGGGGCGACGCTCCTACTTATTCAGAGGGATAACTGGATACTTACAGCTGTCTTCCTCCTCCATAAACATTTTGCTGACATAGCAGGCGTAAACAAATCCGAATAGCTTCAAAGTACATGTTTGGAAAAAGAGAGAGACATGAATTAACGATCTGAAAGCAAAGAAAGGTACCGATTATTATCACATCAGAATCCAACCATTTAAACTCATGAGGGAAAAACTCGGGCATTTCAAGTTCATTTCTTCCATTTACAATTCCGCTGCTGTCTCGAACAACTCTTGACCATGCTGATCCTTCGGGTCCAAAATTGGAAACGAGCAAAACCAAACGGGTGAGGTGGGCTGATTAATTTAAAAGTCTCAAAGAGGTAAGCAAACTGTCAGACTCGACATAATCGCTTATTGTCCTTGGAATAAAAAGCAAAAGTAAAAGTAAAGTTGCAAAAGGAAGGAGGAAAAGGAACTTGCAAACTTTTAGAGATTTACCTGGAAGTAGTTCTGACTAATCTTTGTCATTAGGCTTCATTTAACAAACAAATTGTCAAGCTTTGAAGTGTATTTAGGTTGCTTTCAGTTTTACAGCTTCTCAGCTTGCCAACAAACTATGGGGAGATGTGAGGGGGCAAATGCTCTCAGTCAGGGGTGGGATTCAAATTTTTTAACAACCGATTCTGTGGGCGTGGCTTAGTTGATGGGCATGGCTTGGTGATCATGTGACTGGCTGGGCATGGTCAACTCAACATCACTCACATCGAGGCACGCATCTCCTCGCCTGGCCTCTCATGACTGTGGGGATGCTGCAACAGTTGTAAGTGTGAAAAATGGTCACAAGTCACTTTTTTCAGTGCCACTCCACACAAGCAAAGTACCAGCAAAGGAGGGGAAAAAACTCCAGAGAGGTTCCTGAGACAGGAAGTTCAGTCCTGCCGAGAATGTAATAAGGGTTAACGGAGAGGCAGTTTCTGTAACACCAGAATGTTTCCTTCCTGCCTTCCTTACAGGATTAGGCCAATAATTTCTTCTAACAACCGGTTCTCCGAACTGCTTAGAATGTTAACAACCGGTTCTAGCGAATAGGTGCGAACTGGTAGAATCCCACCCCTGCTCTCAGTAAACATAAAAGAAAAGACTCTTGGCGAATGTACTTGCCAAGAGTCAAGAATCATAAGGTACCTCACTTAATGATAGCCACAGGGTACAATAAGCAATCAAATCACATCAGGAAACAGTCAATATAAATCGTAAGGATACAAGCAACAAAATTACAGTCATCCAGTCACAAGTGGGAGGGGATGGGTGATAAGGAGTGATGAGAAGATTCACAGTAATAGTAGTGCAGACTTTGTAAATAGTTGGAGTGTGTTGAGGGAATTATTTGTTTAGCAGAGTGATGGCGTTCGGGGAAAAACGGTCCTTGTGTCTAGTTGTTCTGGTGTGCGGTGCTCTATAGCCTTGTTTTGAGGATAGGAGTAGAAACAGTTTATGTCCGGGATGTGAGGGGTCTGTAAATATTTTCACAGACCTCTTTTTGACTTGTGCAGTATACACGGAAACCTTTAGTCTTACAATGAAGTAGAATTAGCTCATCTGGTTGTGTTCCCTGTCTAAGGCCGGCATCAGTCTTGTCATTCTCTCTATTCAGGGTGGCTTTTTCATTCTCCCTCCTTCAGTTCCTTGAGCTTAATGTGCTACTCTAGTCGTAAATGACTCTGAGCAGCATATGTACCCAATGCAGTATTCTGATTAAAAACAAATACCTAAGAAATGTATACCAAAATACCCCACAGGCAATGCTAACAGGACTCCTAGACAACATTACACACTAGAGGAGAGATCAAATAGAGCATTTAAAAGCTGGACATGCCAGCTTTTAATAGCGTTTCAAAAAGGGTAAGGGCCGATGTAAACTTCAGAGGGAAGGTTGTTTCAAGAGAAGATAATGACTGACAGAGGGATATTGGAGATACAAAACGTCAGCTTCCCATTTACCTTTTTCTTAAATTAAAATATCTGCTTTTTTAATTTAAAAAACGGTAGAAACCAAGGGAGGGGAACCTGATGTCCATATTGGATAGATACTGCGTATATTTTTGTAGATCAGATGGGAATCAGGAGTCAGTTTTTGTTCAAGCGGGTATGAGTTCTGCAGCAAAAACTAACCATAGAAATCTTTTAGCGCCTCAGTTTTTTTCCGTTTTGTTTTTAGAAGTAAGGGAGAGGCCAAACCAACCGAGAAAAGATACCAATACCCCTTACTTACCGCAAGGAATATCTGCATTGCACTGCTCACCACCTCAATGTATTGATAATCAAGCAAGCATCCAGTTACTGTGATGACGTGATGGTCTTCTAAGGCCAGGTTGGAGTTGATCACAGGGGTTACCAGGCAACCAGGACCATTCTCCATCCACCACGAGCGATGCAATGATGTGTTAAAAGTCATGATGAAGTCTCGATCCTATAGAAATGGGAGAAAGATGAATTCAATGGGAATGTTTGGACCACTATAAAGATAGAGAATATATATACATACTCACAATCCCTTTGAGGTAAGCCATGCTATGCAAAGAGAAGACAATCGGTCATCAGAAGCAATGACATCCAGGGTGATGACCCGGGGCATGGCACAAAGGCAACACAGTCAGATAGTAAGTAGAAGTCCCTTTATTAGCTCCAAATTTGCCCCCAATGTCCTGGTTACCTTCTGGCTGGAGAAAAACTCTCCCAGGAACAGCCTTTGGCTGCAGAGAATCAAGTCCAAAACGTGGTCAACAAAAGCTTTAACTATAAGTCCAATCAAGGCAAGATGAGGTAATTACTCCAGCAGGGCAAGATAAGAAGTTCCAGAAGTGAAGGAACGGCAGTAAATCAACCCAGTTGAGAGGATGCCAAGAACGCAGATAACCACAGTCAAAAGATAAACTCACGGTTGTTCCAGCAAACGCCACTCTCAGCTGCCTCTCCTTTAAACTCTCTTCCCAGGTATGCCCAATGAAAGGAATCAGGGCCCTTTCCTCCCCCGTAAGCCACGTAGGTTCTTCCCTGCATGCCCTAGGATGAAGAGGGGGTGGGACTGGGTCTTCCTCTGAATTCCCTCTCCCTTGTTCTACCCCTCCCCTGCTCTGCCCAGCCGGACTTTGCCCTTCCCCAGTTTCCTCCACAGCCAACAGAGCCACGCTCCTGCTCCCTGTCAGTTGTTTGTCTTCCTCCTAGGATTCAGACTCCAACAGGGGCATGACATCCAGGGTGATGGAGTATTAAAATTGGGAAGATGACGGGCAGAACATCACAGTACAAACCAAAGGAACACAGTGTGCATTGTGATACTCCATCTACTATGTGCCAATTTCGAAGTCTGCAGACACCACTGACTTGATGAGCTCATAAATACTGACTTTTGCCACACATCATAGCTTAGGTCAATCAAGATTTTCACATAATACTTTCCATTAAGATAATAAATGAGTAGACTCCATACCACAACAGTACTGGTCAGTTTTGGTGCCTTCTGTGCAAGCCAGACAATTTTGTAAGATGACACACTGCTGGTCTTATCCAGCTACTAGGAGATGCATGCAATACACCCATAATTCTTGTTCTTTGGAGAATGACAAATTAGGTAAATTAGAATCCCATCTATCTTATAATTCCACCACTATTCCGTGCCCTCCAACTGTCAGACACGAGAAAAGACAGAGTCAGCAAAGACCACTTTTGGCCTCCCTTCCAGCTTGATTGCCTCTGATCAATATGTTTCGCTAAAGAAGAAGAAGAAATTCTGCAAAGGGATTTAGTCTCCCTTAAGTTTTGAATCTAAAGGAGATGATGGAACAAAACGAGAGTTGAAAATTCTTTGCACAATAGTCTAAAAGTTTATTCACACCTGGAAAGGATTCACGTTTATTTTGAGGGACTGGTGTGTGTGTGTGTGTGTGTGTGTGTGTGTGATTGTCCTTATGACCTCACAGAATTGATCAGGGATTCTTTTTCCAGGTTGGCACGGAGGGCCTTTGGGGAGGGGTGTGTGTGTGTATGTGTGTGTGAGAGATGTGGGGGCTGTTTTAGATACATATCCTTTCTGAAAGCTTGCCTTGCCTTATTTGCACTGTTTTTCATTAAGAAGCCATGAAGACAGGGGTGGGACTACTGGGGGTTCAGGAGAAGCCCTGGCTAAGGTTCTGTGCAGTTCAAAGAACCCCCCAATCCCACTCCTGGCTGGCCCCGCCCACCCCTTCCCTCCTCCCTCCCCTCCCAGGAGTCACCACACAGCCCGTTTTGGATGCAGGTAAGTACAAGGCATGCATGGAAGCTCAGGAAGAGTGAAAAACGGGCCTCCCGGAAGTTCGGGAAAGCTAGAAATGGGCCCATTTCTGGCTTCCAGAGAACCTCCAGAACCCGGGGAGGCAGTTTCGCCCTCCCGGAGGTTCGAGGAAAGCCTACAAGATCCCAGTTGTACAAGCTACGGGATATTTCCTGTGGCTTTCTAAAGCAAGCGAAAGTTGGGCTTTTAACAAAGAAAGATGAGAAGAGCGTCGAAGCTTTTCAACTTTGGTGTTGGAGAAGACTGTCACCCAATTCTTCCCAAGAATACCCAGGAGGCATTCTTGCAAATAATTTTACTCCTTGAAATGAACGTACACTCATCTTTGCCCATGCCATCACAAAAGAGAAAAACTCCAGATAGCTGCATTCTGGTTTGTTTATGGATTTGAGAAGACGGACCTGGAAACTCTGCCTTCATACTTCTCATTCACCTCTACTTCAAACTTTAAAAGACATTAATGAGATTGTTGTGTCATCCTCAACCCACGGAAGGTGACAGGACATACTGCTCTAGCCGTGAAACTGGTTCAATATATATTGAACTTCAACATTATTGGTTATTTATAAACTGTGCCACAGAATTAGATGGCGTAGTCTTTGTTTTAATCATGATAACGATATAACAATGCTAGAAAACTAAACAATGATTTTTAAAAAGCTGGGCTTGGAATAAAACACTCTTTTTCAGCCTTGGCCATTTTTAAGATGTGTGGACTTCATTTCCCAGAATTCTGGGAGCTGAAGTCCATACATCTTAAAGTTGCTAAGAGCAGGCTGAATTGAAGGCGGAGTTAAATGTGTCATATGTTTGGAGTCACTGCATTGCCACAAGATACCCAAATCGAACTCCCTCCCTCATGAATTCCATTGACCCTTATCTAACACCAACTTTGTTTGACCATTAGTTGAATAGATTCTTGTAAATAGATAACTATTCCGTGCTTTGAACTCAACAAATGCTCCCGGTTATTTGCAACTGACAGATACAATTTAATAGTTAATTCCCCTTGTCCACCATAAACAGGCAGCAATGCCTTTTCCAAAATGACATATGAGATCCGTGAATCTATAACCCTGATAAAAGTATGCTTTGAATTCACAGTGATTATCTCCTTGCGACCTGCTTTAATCAGTGAATAGTATCTGGATGAGACATATACACACAAACACACACAAATACACACATACACACTCCCAATGCTTTTATACTGTTCTAGTATAAATACAGCCTGATTTGTCTGCCTTCCCTCCCAGCCCCCCATCTTCCCTTGTGGATCAACCCATCTGTTTGCAAAACAGAGCAGTTTGTGTCAACGTGCTATGTGAGCACTGCATATCAAACAGAGCTTTGTCTTTACTTGCAAAACCTGTGCATGCCATAAAAGAGAAATGCCCCAGCGAGAAAAGGGAGGAAAAACCCCACACACAGCCTGAACACTTGGAGAGGCCAAACCTTCATTTATTTATAACACAGAAAGTCTCCCAGTGGTCTCCCAGGATCGTGCCAAATCTGATCTGCAATGTCAGCACTGGAAGAAGTTGCTGCGGGTGGGGTGGGGCGGGAAGGAGAGTTAATTTGAAAGGAACATGGAAGCATTTACAACCTGCAATCTTCTCCTGAATTCTAAACTCTATGCTCAGTGAGCAATTGCTGCTGGAAAGGTGATGGATGGAAAGCTGTTGGTGGACCGATGGCTCGAGAAGGGCAAGTTCTGGGTGTGATTAGAGAGGTAATTACCTGTGAAAGGTGTCCGACTTCCAGGTAGAAACAGATGATGAATGCATTCCAGCCAACCCAGACAATGAGCCACACAGCATACTAGTGAGGGAGAAAAAGAGGCAGTTTGAAGAAGTACAATGGGAAAAACGATTAAAGCAACTGGAGGTACATGCCTGTTTTCCATAGTTCTTACCCTAAACACATCCAGCTGCAGAAATACAATACACGTTGAAGGCTTAAAGTTAAGAATTTGAAGGAAGATTCCTAAAACATGTGGACCTTCTTAATCATTAAAGCCTAACTGCCAAAATCAGAGTGGGTTTGGGCATTACACTAAGCCATGATTTGCTTTTCTATTCTATTTATTAAATTTATTTGCCACCACAAGGCAACTCTGGGCAGCTTTATTATCAACACAATATTGCAACATCCCCAGTCATTCTGCACTCTCTGTTATGGTTATGGATACTACAGGCCCACGTTAAGTTCCTACCTAATACCTAGTTGGTATTACAACTAGTCATCAAATCACTCTGGACTGTTTTCTTGAGAGGGCTCTAAAAACACACTGTTTATCCAGGTTTTGAATGTGAATTATGTTAACTTTTATTAGAGCGCTGGTGTGGCTAGTGGTGATGACGCTCGCCTCCCACTTGGATGGTTGAAAGTTCAGCCAATGTTGGGACGCAAAGAAAAAACATCTGCTGTGAACTCTGCAGAGGCATCAGGAAGGGCACCTGGCCAGTAAATGCTCGGCTCCAATTGCCCCAACTCTACTCCAAATAGGGACTAAAGGTAAAAGTTTCCCTATCAGTCATGTCCGATTCTAGGATATGGTGCTCATCTCCATTTCCTAGCCAAGGAGGCCATCATTGTCTGAAGTCAATTTCTGTGATCATGTGGCCAGCATGGCTATACACCAAAGGCACATGGAACGCTGTTACCTTCCCACCAAAGTGGTACCTATTAACTACCCTGCATTTGCATGCTTTCCAACTGCTAGGTGGGTAGGAGCTGGAGCAAGTAATGGGAGCTCACCCAGTGCACTGAGTTTGGGTCTCAAACCTGGGCTGTCAGCTCTCCAGCTTAGCATCTTTAACCGCTGGGCCATTGACTACAGACTCGTAAAAAGGGAGCTTTAATTATTTTAATTTTGACTGAAATGTATCTGATTGGAAGTCTAGTTTTATGCATTCATGGTGCTAAAAAACTGGCAGCATAAATACAACAGAAAATGAAACAAATGTTAAAAAGTTATGATATTTATGTAGTTATTTACCAGGCACATCTAAATTAAAGTAATGAAAATATCTTTACAATCCCCAAGCCAGGTCCCATTGAGAACCCTTAATGTTTGGAAATAGAAAGCTGAAAAATTTGACACGCCCTAATTTACACAAAGCAGCAATCCAACATATTTCACTATTTTGAAAAAAGAAGCAAAAAAACAAACAAGCCACAGAACAGGATGTTATACTTACCAGCATGAGGTATCTGGATCTGTACTGAAGGGTGCCAAAAATACCCAGAATGACGGCCATAATGTGTAAAAAATTGGCCAGGATCGGCAACCATTGATAACCCAGAAAGTCAAATATCTGTCTCTCCAGGGCTGCAACCTACAAGAGACCATAAAGGCAGACAAAGAATTCTTCATTGCACGGTGTTACACAGAATAAGAAAGCAGCAAAGTCTACCACAGAATTAATAAGAAACCCTACGGGCTATTAGTCACAACCAACAGAGATGTTGGCATGATTCATTGGCTGCTGTCCAAGAAATATATTCCAAAGCAGGGGGATTTACGGGGGATCCATCACAAGGCAAAGAAAAGGGTGTTTTCACTGGCAAATGGCACCAGTGGAAATGACCACAAGTGGACCAATGCTTCAATTGCCAAGAGCAGCAAAAGAAGACAATTGTTCCCAGAGTGGTAAACCGGGGTAAGACCCCAGGAGCTTGTTCCTTTGAATCCAAGAGTCTGTAGGGATTCTCAGTCATCCACAGGTCATGGTTGACCCAAAGGTGCTTTTTCAGGAGGCAACTGGACTTTCTTGTTTTTTCTTTTGAAGATGTTTCGCTTCTCATCCAAGAAGCTTCTTCAGCACTAACAGGATAGTGGGGAATAGAAGGATTTATATTCCTTGCGGACAGCTGGTCATTTGCATCCTTTTAGAGGGTGGTTGAAGCATCTGGAGGAATAGCTGTGTCCTCATGGTCACCTACAGTAACCAGGAGCCCTACTCAGGTGACCCTGAGGACACAGATAAACCTCCAAGTGTTTCAACGACCCTCTAAAACGGGGGTGTCAAACTCGCATCATCACGGCATCATCACGTGACGTATCTTGACTTTTCCCCCCCTTCGCTAAACCAGGCGTGGGCATGGCCAGCCTGTGATGCATCAGCCTGCAGGCCGCGAGTTTGACACTCCTGCTCTAAAAGGATGCAAATGACCAGCTGTCTGCAAGGAATATAAATCCTTCCATTCCCCATCATCCAGTCAGAGCTGAAGAAGCTTCTTGGATGAGAAGCGAAAAGTCTTCAAAGAAAAAACAAGGAAGTCTAGTTGCTTTTTGAATCCAAGACTTATCTTAGGAACATTAGAAGCTTCTCAGGATGGGTGTCATTTGTTGGCAACCTCTTTCCATGGTTCTAAACCGCTGTTTTTCTGACCCTATTTAGAAAAGCATGAACTGTGTGTGGTGACTCTCATCCTTTAAGCCAGGAGTCCCCAATCCCCAACTCTTGGGTCGTGGACCGGTGCCAGTCGATGGCCTGTTGGAAATGGGCCTCACAGCTAGAGATGAGTGGCAGGTGAGGAAAACTGCACATGTGCAGGATCTAGGTTGCATGCTCCTCCTCCCCAACCTCCTCCTCCCCAATCCATGGACAAAATATCTTCCATGAAACAGGATGGAGACCACTGCTTTAAGTCATAGCAATCTTCAGTTGAATTGACAACCCAAGGATTTTATGGCAAGCTATAAATTTCAGAAGGAGATGGGAAGGTTATGATTTTCTGAACAAAGTCTACATCCATGTTTCTCAACATTTGCAACTGCAGGATTCTTGGAGTTGAAATCCACATATCTTAAAGCTGCTAAGGTTGAGAAATGTTGTTCTAGATCAGGGGTCCCCAAACTTGACAGCTTTAAGACTTGTGGACTTCAACTCCCAGAATTCCTCCTCCAGTCTTGTTAGCTCAGGAATTCTTGGAGTTGAAGTCCACAAGTCTTAAACAAGCTTGAAGACCCTTGGTCTAGATGGACTTCATTGACAACCTTCCCATCAAGATAAATTAACTAAAATTCTCATCAGTGGAACATAGACTTCCTGTGCCTACACGGTGATCAAAGGATGTGCATGGATACCTTTAACCAAACAATCATCTCTAGAGTGCTCTGCTTCACACATTTTAAACTCTGAACCTAAGGGGATTCTTTTCACAGATGTTCTCAAACTGAGAAGGGTAAGCAGCCAAAACTATAAGGCAAATCAGTCTTACTGCTATTCATACCCTCTGCCACTCCCAACAATCAAGCCAGTTCAAAAACGGGAAAAAAATGAAAAGAAATCCCCAAGTCGCCTGAAAATAAGTTTGCGGCCAAACAAAACCACTTTTGCTGAAAGCAAGCGCCTGAGATTTTCAAGGTGAAGTTTGGGCCAGCAGCACCATCCATCAAAGCAGTATTTCCTAGGGTGGAGGGTTTATGTCAGAAATCAGATGGGACAGAAATCAGTGGTGGGATTAAAAAAAAATTAATATCAGTTCTGTGGGCATGGCTTGGTGGGCGTGGCAGGATAAGGATACTGTAAAAATCTCCATTCCCTCCCCACTCTTGTGTTCTGACCCAAACCTGGTTCCAAGAGAGCAAACACGAGACAAAGGCAGCAGCACAACCTTTTAATGTTTCATCTATGAATCCTGTTTCTTCACAGATAAAAGGCTGCTTCCAACTAATTAGCTCCAACAAGAAAGAGCCTTGCCAAGTTTTTGCAAGGCTTCCAAAAAACAGCAGGTAAGAAATAGCTTACTACACAATGGTCTTCAAATGCCAACTGTAATGTCCACGAGGCTGAATTTCAAAACAACTTTGCTTCCTACAAAGAACGTTCACTTCACAGCTGGCTTTTATCTTCTTGCAGGAGGGGCCATTACCTTGCAGCCTTACTCCCAAGTCGCCCATACTGTTGTAGCTGCTCTTTCCTGCAAGCAATCCTGCGTGCACACACACTTGACACAGGCTCCTCGGGAACCTCCTCATCGCTGCTGCCAGCCCCCATAATCTCTGAAGGCAGCAGTCCACTCCCTAATGGTCCAGACCCCTCATTTGAGTCCTTGCTCTCCTCAGCCATCTCCACCTGCTGCTGGCTAACCACAACATCCTGGGGGAAGGTGACCCAGCCAATCAGCTGGGACTCAGGAGGCAGAGAAAAGATGGGGGCGGGGCCAGTCAGAGGTGTTTGCCGGTTCTCCGAACTACTCAAAGGTTCTGCTACTGGTTCTCCAGAACCAGTCAGAACCTGCTGAATACCACCTCTGGGTGGAAATAAACCTCAAGTTGAACATCAGAGAAAGAACATCTTGACGGAAGAGGGATACCCCTAGCCTACATTATTGGGGAGAGGTTGCTAGTTCTCTCCAGAGTTTTCATTAGAAATTGAAAACAAGGCAGAATCCTTGAATCCAGGCCAACATTTCACTGCAAGCCTCTGAAATTAACCACACCTGTCAGTGGGGACCTCCTCTCTTCCCTTCCCTTCCCCACATCTCTCGTTTAAGCCTGACAACCCTCATAAATCATTTTTGCGGGTGACTTCGCCTTCTAGATTAGGCTAATTGGGTTCTTAACAGCCCTACTGAACTCAGGCCACCGAGTCCTTTGAAGTACAGAGTCAGTGTGTTTCCTTGGTGGACTTTCCATTTCCCTGAGATGAGATCAGCCATGAATCATGTAGTCCACCTCTGGGGACTAGGGTTTAAAAAAAGGCTGGCAATTAATCTCTGACACCATTAAAATGGTCTGCCATAATACAGCTTTTCACAACTGTTGCTATTGCGAGTACAGCTCCCATCGTAGGTGGCTCTGTGGGGACTGGGCCTAGTGAGAGTTAGAGTCCAACCCATCTGGTAAACTGCAGTTTCAGCACATCTGAAGGAGGCTCCAGAATAGCGAACATGGTCAGATTAATCATAATGAAATGCTATGCCACTTCCAAGCCAGGACCTGCTTCTGCTTACAGTAACGGAAAATAATAATTACTATACGCCGTATTATGGATATAGAGTTGGAAGGGACCTTGTAGGTCATCTAGTCTCATCCTCCCCTGCCCAAGCAGAAGACCCTATACCATTTTTGACAATGGCAGTCCAGTCTCTTCTTGAAAGGTTCCAGGGATGAAGCTCCCACAACTTTTGAAGGCAAGCCATTCCATTGGTGGATTGTTCTCACTGTCAGAACATTTCTCCTTATTCCCAGGTTGAATCTCTCCTTGTTCAGTTTCCATCCATTATTGGAAATGTATTAGCAGAGTTGTAAGATAGGTAGCATTGGGTACAAGTCTCATCCCACTGAGATTGGTCCGCCCCATCCGTGCCAGCAGAGGAGGCATGCTGAGGCCCCCATTGGCCAGGGTATTCCAGCTGGCATGGTCCAGAAGAGCCTCAGCTCTCACCTTCCTGAACTTTCGTAAGAGCTTAAAGAAGTGGTTCTGGCCTGGAGCTTCAATGGGGAAATTTCACATTGCGGGATGGTTGATAGCAACAGCACTAAGACTTATATACCGCTTCACGGTGCTTTACAGCCCTCTCTAAGTGGTTTACAGAGTCAGCATATTGCCCCCCAATAACAATCTGGGTCATTTGACCCACCTCGGAAGGATGGAAGGCTGAGTCAACCTTGAGCCTGGTGAGATTTGAACTGCCAAATTGCAGGCAGCTGGCAATCAGCAGAAGTAGCTTGCAGTACTGTATTCTAACCATTGCACCACCTCCGTTAATAACAGATTCTATCTCCCCACTTTCTTATCCTACTCCATCCCTCCCCATCTTTTAATAAGGGTTGAGTATTTGTATTTTATAATATTGTTTATAGTGTTGTATAGTTTTAACTTTTTAATATCCATTGTTAAGCTACTCAGAGTTACTCCACTGTTAAGATGGGCAGCCAATAAATGTAAAAAATAAATTAAAATGGGAATGTGAGATTCAGAAAGTAATAAAATGTTAGCAACTCCAGATAACAGTTGGCTGCCTTGTCAACTCTGCAGCAGAGAGTACAAGCAACTGCATCACTTGATTTCTCATTGCTTGAAACCTGGCAGTTGCACATATAAATACAATCTGGTGAGATATACTATCAGAACAAGGCGGTGTTTCTAAGGTGCTATCTCTGGTGAGCTGGATCTAACAATTTCCTCTCTCTAACAAGAGACTTTGTCTCATTGAAGGATCTCCATTTAACCTACCAGTCTGTTTAATGTGTAATAAGGCTTCTCTTAATTTTGGTTCAGTATGAAATGCAAACCTAATTATTATGGCTTATGGCTTGCTTGTTGAATTCCTAGTTTAAAGCATCCTGCCTTAGGGATAATTGAAGAACTGCTTTTGCTCTTAT